GTTTGTTCCCGAAACGTCGGTTTACTACGGTAACCAGTTAACGCATCTGATTGTTATAGTAGTAAACCGGAGTTTCGGGAACAAACTCTGTCCCCAACTTCAGGGTTTGTTCCCGAAACGTCGGTTTACTACGGTAAGCTTCTGATTACTTATAGTATTGTGAATATGGCCATTCGTCCATGTGAGCTTTTTCGTGTGCGGTTTTGTCATGGAACCGTTCCGTATGCAGAGGTGGGCGGAATTCAGTCCATCCATCCAAGGAGTGAAAACATTTCACCTTCTTTTAATTAAAAGTGCAGTAATGTCTCTATTAATAGCTATATTTTAGCTTCCTATAACCAGTTGTTAAAACATGTTCGTATATTTCTCACATAACTCGAGATTTGTTGGCCTTCTTATGAATGTAACTTCGTGGTGCAGATTCGTACTTGAGAAGCTGATAGTAGCTTAGGCGATCAAGAAATTACCCAAATTTCCTTAACGTGTGCGCAAGAATCAGCCACTGGCCTTTGTTCTTAAAAACAGTAGAATCTACACGCTCCTCCCACCTTTTTTCCTCGAGATCCATTTTAATATTATCCTTAGAATTACCTTTAAGTCTTCTTGGTGGTCTCGTCCCTTTAGGCATTTCACCTTCTAATATAAATATTGACATAATTTCTATGCAATGATAATTTTGAATAATAATACAAGGTTTGTCTCGGGTACATAGAAGTAAATACCCTATAAAGTGGTGAATAGATGGAATATTATTAATAATAATAATAATTATGTTTATTCCCATTGTAAATTGTTTTATCTAACTTTGCCTTCTAACTGTTTGTGTCTGACGTTGCCTTTAAATTCTAAGCTAGTATATTCTTATTATATTAAAAATCACGTTTAACTTCTTCTTAAATAAATGTTGGTATTACTGTAGCTTTATTCTCTTTGTTCAGGTGGCATTATAAGATATGGTTATAATTTGTAGTAAAGTGTAACGCATTCTTTAAACCAACATTTTATTTCCGTTAAAATATAGAAATTAGTAAAGATTATGTGTAAACTATGAAAATGCCGTCACTGTAACTGCTTATGTTAATACACCTGATTGCTTTACTTTGTTACAGACTTACGATATTAATAACAGGAAACAGGTTTGTTAACTGTGTGCATGTGAAAAAAATAGCAAATGTTTACTGTGCAAGAAAAATCAAGTTCTTAGAATTTTTTCTTTAAATCCGAAACCGGCAGTGATATAACGGCTAAAGCTGCCATCATAAATTATATAATTTGTATTTTCCTTCTATTTTAACACGTGACTTTTCTCTACCCGACATTAATTACAATTATTTACGCTAGATATCTGTTGTACAAAGACGATATTATGTTTGCGTAATTTTAAGAAAAATATGAATTAATTTTGATGAATTTTCCGAGACGTGCAACTATGTTCCACTGCAAAACGAAGGCGAAAACTATCCATGGCCTCCTCATATCTCCTCTTCCATTCGGCCCTCTGTTAGGACCGTCTGTCCGAGGCTTTGATTGAGGTTTCGAAACATCTTCCTTTTTACGGTGCAAGGCTGTTAGCCTTGCGACCAACCAGCATGGAGATTTAAAAAAAAAAAAATCCTCTGGGCCGGATTTGAACCAGCGACCTATGGATTACAACTAACCGGCACTAGAGTGCATTTTCACTACAGTCCACCGCTCTACCAACTGAGCTACCAGAGGTTGACATCAAACGTGTGTTCGATTCCTAATGTTTCTTTTAATGTACGTTTTAAATCATAATATAAATGAATAGTAAATAGAACTTTTGATGTAAATACGTCTATATTGAAGGGTCATTCCACAAAAAAGTGTTACGAAAAAGTGACAGGAAAATGTGTAAGATGGTTACCTAGGAAATATCAACAATTTTTAAATATGGACTGACAATAATGGCCAGCTTGTATGCATTGTTATGTTACCTAGGAAACGTCATCTGTTTACGCGGCATTGTTGTGTTTCATTATTGCCGTCAACAATGCGCTTTCGTTATTGCGGGAAGAGCTTGTAGAAGAAGTGCCTCGTGGAGTAGATAATTTTGTGCTGGTAAAAACGTTTTACAATATCACATTAAGAATTATTAAGTAATCTGTTGTTGCGTCATACTACGTACAAGATGGATGACATTTAAGCTAAAAGACTCCATAACGCAGATTATATGAGACAGTACAGAAAACGTAAACAATTAGAAGTATTAGATAATGAACCTAAAGTTGTAACCATACACCTATTGATGATTGTAAGAGATTTATTGGAGGCCTTCGAAATGTGGTTGTACCGACGTATTCTCAGAATTCCCTGGACTGACCGTGTAACCAACAAAAAGTTCTCGAGAAACTCCTCAAAGACGTCGAGGTTGTTAAGACCATAAAAAAGAGAAAGTTGGAATATTTCGGTCATATCATGAGAAATATTTATAGATATGGGCTGCTTCAGCTGATAATCCAGGGGAAAGTGTTCGGAAACAGGGGACCTGGCAGGCCAAGAATCTCCTGGCTTCAGAACCCGAAAACTTGGTTCCCGATGTCCACTGGAGGGCTGTTTCAAGTAGCAGCCAGTAAAGCTCAAATTGCTATGCTGATCGCCAACATATGGAACGGATAGGCACTTCAAGAAGAAGGAGAAATCGATATAAAACAAAAACCTCGTCAATGCAGTACAAACAATACAGTGATAATGTGGCTGATAATACTGAAAATTGAGTTTTATTCGTTAGTAAATATTACTGGATGGCTTATGTTTTCCACATTATGTTTTGAACATCACAATATACGCATTTCGGTATTCGTCAAAAGAGTTCTACACGAATGTTTTTAAACACGTAATTTGAATCACGGTGGTCTAGCGGTCAGAACACTAGCCTTGTAATCCTGGGGTCTCGGGTTCGATTCCCGGCGGTGCCCGAATTTATAACTTGTGTTGGGCAAGGCCGTGGTCTAGGCAACACGGAGTTTTCCTCTGGGGGCTTCCCCGGTTTCTCCGTGGCATCCCAACAATTACTCCATTCACACACAGAAGAAGGCAATGGCAAACCACTTCTGGATCATCTGCCAAGAACGTATATGAACAGGTCCCAGTCCGAGAAAAGGATGGAAGGATCCTGTTCATATGGACCTGTCCTCAGACAGAACAATAAATAAATAAATAAATAATTTGAATCATATATGACTGCACTGTTGAAATGTGTTTGTGCGAATGCAACATACACATTAAAAGATTTGCGACATTTTGACTTGGATATTTTCCTACGGATCAACAACGCTAATCACTTGGATGCATAAAAATATAGACGCTCAGACGCCGCGGAACCGAGTTACACGTCAGGCAAACATATTGGTTGCGTTTGCATGATAGATATCTGACGTAAATGACTGCGATTAGTGGAACGTACAGATAAGCCACATACGGAAAAATACAAAAAGAATAAGAATTATGACACTTATATGACTTTCAGTTTACGACGTAGAACATTTTAAGCTCTTGATTTTTCTTGCGCGAAGTATACATTTTATAATGTAAGCTTGGAAATAGTGTAGCTCAAATCTAAAAGTTTGTGACGATGGTGCGTTTTTAAAAATCATAAAATTGCACGACGTTTCGGAGTTGGGACTATCTCCGAAACGTCGTGAAATTTTTATGATTTTATTAGACGATGGAAAACTTCTTATTTTTTGTAAATAGTGTGTTCTGTATTGCTTGCTGTCTGCTTTATTTTTTTCCACGCTTGATATACAGCATGCCAATTTAAGAATTTTCGCTAGGCTTTGCCCAGATGATTTAGACTCGAAGCTAAATCAGTGGGTTTGCCCCATTATAATTCTCATGGCACATAATTACAGTTAGTAGCGATGAATTCACCTGACGTTTCGCTTTTTCACATTCTCTTGTTCTTGGGTTGTTGCTCCGTCTACTCTGGCAGAAGTTTACCGACGTGTCAGATGTCCTTGCTGCCTCCATCATCAGGGAGTAAAAATCTCAAATACTCCACTTATTCTTATCATCGTTTATAATAATATTCATGTTGACTTAAAACACACGAATAATTTACTTAATTTTTAATCGAATTCCTGGAGATATTTGTCGTTTTATGGCAAAACATTAAAACAAATCAATGACGCTAACTCACCCCCATCTAGAGCCGAAGTTAAGAATGAGTAGGAGCTACACCTTCTCTCCCCCCAAGTGCCTGCATGGCGTCTAGCTTACTTAGTTTACTTTCATGTCAAATAAGAACACTAACCTCACATTATTATTTTAACGGTAACTTACAAATGTGTGGAAACAAATTGTTCAGGGATAATCATCATTTATATAGGCAATTTATAAAAGTAATGAAAATATTGGAAGCTTGGGTGGTGATCGTATGTGACTAGATGGATGAGACGAGGAATGTAGAAAAGTTTAGAAAATTTCACATAGAATACCGAGAAGACAGTGTGGGAAAATATTAAGATTAGTCTTAGACAGGTTTGATAACAGGAATTCGAGACCTAATATAACTAATTCAGGATCGTTTCAAATTTTGTTATAACGGTGTTGAAACTTTTGGATTCTGCCATCAAGATGTTAGTTACGTTCAAATACATGCTATATTAAGCATGTCTTAACACTAGGTGTTAGAAACATCTCCATAGATGTTTTAAAAATATTTCACAGATGTCATAAATATGATTTTTACGAAACTCACAACCAATTTTAATATTTCATTGTTTTTTTGAGGTTTTTAGAAATTCTAAAACTCTCACATGTTATACAGATGATCGGAACTGATAATGTAGAGTTCAGCTTACCCGACCTAAACGGGACCGAAGGATGGTCGGATAATACGGAAGACTAATGAAACAGACCACTTAAAATCATTTCAGTTCATAGCTATATTTACTATATTATTAAATTACAAATAAATACGTTACGTACACGGAGCTACAGAAGGTAGCCATCATGAAAACACAACGCGTCTCCTTATAACAAAATAACATGTTAATGATCTTTGGGAAATTACTGTTTAGTCTGATAAACTCTTGAAACCTATAGATACATTCTGTGAACAAAATACGTAATGTTTCTTTTGATCATTATTTAAGGTGGTACATATAGTTGCCACTGGGAAGGGATTCTTCAAGAAATTAATGGAGATGGGTCTGGAATTTCAGCTGTAGCTTGGGAATAGTGTACTGACGAGGATATCAAATTCTCAACGCTCTACGCGTTCTTGAGTAATTCAGCGTGGTATCAGATTACGTAGCATTATGATGGTTTAACATTCTCCTGATGCCTTTCTGTCTAAAACGCTCGTGTAACCTCAAGTAAGGCCCAGTGGATTATGTTCATTATTCTTTGTAATTTTCTGATTCGCCGATAACAGTGTTGTACTACAAGAAATGTGGGAAGTTAGGTTAGGTTTGGTTAGGTTAGGTTAGTTTAGGTTAGGTTAGGTTAAGTTGAAGCAAGGGGTTTGATATTAAGAAAGCTAGGAAATGACTAGGGAAGGAAGATGCCCCCAGTACGTGGTGGAGGGGGTGATTAAGGTATAGATACCATTAAAATATACAGTGGATTCCGGTTAATTGGGACGCATCGGGACTAGAACACTTTGGCCCAATTATGCGAAGTTCCACGTAAAGAGTTAAAAATGTCTGTTCTTTAAGATTTGCCCCAAATAAACGGCCGCCCCGATTAACCGATGACCCAATTAACCGGAATATACTGTATTTAAATTTAAAAATGTATAGAAATTTTACCGTGACTGAAGATTTAGTATAGCCCTACAAGTAAATAAAAACACAAACACGACTTTTTTAAAAGAAAAATAGAAAATGTTTATTTCAGTCATGTGTAAGTGGGATAATAAACGTACAGCAGTCAGGAGGAATCTGTGCATTCCACGTCAGTTAATAGTAGAAGGCGAGGAAGGAAATCAGAGGGCTGGGAGGTATAGCAGATATAGTAGTATACGAGGTGCGATCGGAACGTTTCCAGACTGCGCGTATAAAAACCCGTACACTTATCTCAGGTATTAAATGCATCCATCACCCTCGAAGTAGTTCCCCTGGGAGTGAACACAACGATCCCAGCGCCGCTGCCAAGCCTGGAAGCATCCCTGGAAATCTTTCTTTGTCAGCCTGTCAAGCACCATCTGCGATTCTGCCTGAATCTCTTCTATCGTCTCAAATCTCCTTCCCTTTAGCTGAATTTCATCTTTGGGAAGAGGAAGAAGTCACACAGAGCTTAGAAAGGAAGTTGGGGTCGGATCTTGCAAGATCTTTGAGCTCCTGACAAACGAGAAGTCAAGGCGATTCTGCTTCTGGTCCTCAGACAGGAACCTTGGCACAAACTTGGCTGCGATGCGTCGCATGTGGAGTTCTTCCTTTAGAATCAGCTGACAGGCCCCATAGCCTATCCCAACAATGTCGCACAAGTCGTTGAGAAAATCCGCCATTCCGAAATCGCAGGAGGGTCGGTGTAATGCACTACCAAAACGCCCGTAACTAAGAAACAAATGCTAATTCGATGATGCCGGCTGGCACACTGATT